GGGGGGGGCTTACCTGCCCGAAGTTCCAGGGGCGGCTGTCAATGTTGTTCCAGCTCCCTGTGTAAATGACTCCGTTCTCATTCATGATGTACTCCTGCAGCAGCCTCGTGTCAGACAGAAAAACCACATCGTCTGAGGGACACAGAACACTGGGACTCAACCAAACCACGTGGGTATAAAACAAACTCACAAGCAGAAAATGTCCTGAGATGACTTCTTGGCACTATATAAATAAAATAATTTAATTGAATTGAATTGAAATGAGCTCTGATTGGTTATTTTAAAATGATCAAATCAAAGACAAAAGCTTGATCAAAGAATGACCCTAACCCTAACCACCTGACTTCACCTCTGCACCTGCTGGTGGATAAACCACACATGGAGCGGAAGTACTCTTACGTCCAAATGCTCTTTGTGGACTTCACATCTGCTTTCAACACCATGATTCCCCAGTTCCTGATGGACAAACTACTCACACTAGAACTAAGTTCAAGTTCAAGTTTCTTTATTGTCATTCGCATAACATGTGGTACATGAGGTGGAATGGAATTGAGTACTCGAGGTCCAAGTTGCACCAAAAAATAGCAAAAAAAACTTCTTTCAGCTGCTCCCTTCTTCAGGGGTTGCCACAGCAAACTAAGTCACATAACAGTGTAAAAAAACATCAAAAATATAGGAGGTGGAACACATGGAGAGCTGGTGCAGAAAGAACAACCTCAATGTGAAAAAGACGAGGGAGATGGTTGTGGATTTCAGACAATAACAGATAACAATAAAGAACCTTGAATTCTTGAATCACACACACATATATATATATATATATATATATATATATATATATATATACCTCCAAATGCAGGAAGAGGGCCACCTGCATCATGAAGAACCCCACTTACCCAGCACACTCAATTTTTACCCCGCTCCCCTCAGGCAGGAGGTTGTGGAGCATTAAATGTAGAACCACTAGATGAGGAATAGCTTATATCCTGAAGCTGTTAGACATAAATTCCTAACCAAAAAAAATCACTGTTAAAAAAAAAGAAAAACAACTGTAATGCCACTTTTAATGGTAATATGTGACTTTGTGCTGCTAATTATCCATGCTGCTGATTTCTTGCTTTTAAGCTGCTATATTCATACCCATCTGTTCACAGCAGACTCATGTTCAGGCTGCTGACTACTGTTTAATATAGCATATTATTTAACATTATTATTGTTTAGCAAATTTCTTAGATTATTGTATACTGTTACTTCTTATAATTGATGTTTTTGTAATTTTTGGGTGTAACTGGGACCTTGAGTACACAATTTTGTTCCACTTCAAGTACCGCATGTAATACTAATTACAATAAAGGACTTGAACCTTGCTCCAAAAACATTAAGGTAAACTTGCATTATCTATTCATTTCCTGTCCAGAAAAACACTAATCTCAAACTACAAACATTCACTATTTACTTTTCATTTGATATGCTTTTATATGACTGTCTAGTGCTGTCTGTACCTCATCTGTGTTCTTTGTTTAAAACAGGTCTCTCTTGTAAATGAGTTCTTATGACTCACTGAGACTAACCTGCATAAATAATGGCTGAATTAAAAAAATTAAATCCCTCAGCAATGGTGACATCAGCATGTGTTTCACCATATTTGTAATGAGGGACTGGATATGTACCCACATCTTTGAGTCAAGACAGAAGACAACGTTTAAAGCTGCTGTTTTTACCTTTGCACCAGGGGTTGAAGAGCAGGTGGAAGCTGATTTCACCAGTTTTCTTCACAGCGTTCTTGTCTGACATCACCAGTATAGTCATGCGGCACGGTCCAATGATGGCATCTGCTGGACTGTGCACGGTCAGCAGCAACTCATTCTGCACCTTCATCTGGCTGAACCACCACTTGCCTTTGATGCCAAGCTCTTTCTGGACATTGATCTCCACCTGGTTACTTCTGCCTGCAGGAGCATAAGGTCTCATTAAATCATGGACAAGAAAACAAGAAGACCAGCAGGATGTCTGACCCTGAAAGTGCCTTTAAACATGTTTGAATAAAAGAGAATTAACTATGTGATAAAACTGCAGCATGTTTAGTTTCTTGTTATATTAATGACAGCAACAAAATTTTTTGCAAAAAATGTGATGTTATTCATGATGGTTGCAGGACTTTCTATTATTTTCCTTCATTACTCTTCATGTTTTCATTTTCTTTAATATATGAAATGGTTTATTTTAGGGATTTGTAGGATTTTAATGTTTGAAGCAACAAACTGACGAGCTGTATGATCTATAGGCGCTGATATGATAAAACTGATTGTAAAGGTACAAAAAAACAGAAAAAAGTATCGTCTAAGGTGCAGTTTGAGGTGATTCATAAAGAAGGAACAGATCAACACCCCATGGGCACGTTTACTCACCCATATGAAGCATCAGCTTCAGCCGCTCTTTGAACAGCTGGGAATTGGGACTCTGCACAGTAATGGAGAAGGGCTGGCCCCGGCGCACAATCAGGCGCCTCCGGTCAATGTCCAGGGTGCGGTGAGCCGCGTTGTTCTCACGACTTCTCAGATCCATGTTGAGGATGAAACCTGATGAGAAACAGGCAGAGCTGAAACTGAATCACGAGTTCACCGTGTAGGAGAAAAGGTTCTTAAAACAAGTGTGTTTTCAAACATACAATAAATCTGCTGAACTTAAACAATAAAAACATTCAGCGCACTGTTGAAAGTTACAGATTGGACCTCTACAAAGACAAATCCAAGATCAAGACAAATCCAAGATGTTTTGCACCCAGATGTTGTTCTTTTTTTCCTTTTTTCCAGGAGAAAAGAGTTGTGTGAAGCTCTCTTCAGCACAGATTGCTGATTTTTGTTATCTGTCCTGTTTTCTGGATCAATTTCAAAGCTACTCTTTTCAAAATATAACATCTAACAAAGTTTATCCTGAACTTTATCAAGCGGTAATATGTTGATACTATATGCAATTCTTAAATGTGAGTCTGCACTCAGTGTAAACAAATACTAACTTCAAACCATGTGGAAGGTAGAGTCACATGACTGGGTTGTATCACTCAGCTGCTTGATATTTTCAGTCTCTTTGACTGTTTTTGAAGGTAAATCCACAGTAGTTGGTGTCAGGTCACAAAATTTTATTAAACACATCTATGAGGTTGATGTTCCTTGCTTTAATTTTTTTAAATATTTTTCAGTGAGTACCTTTTAACAAGAATGTCCTTTAAAAAAATTTTTTTTTTCTGGGTTATTTCTGTTTTTCAAGTTTGAACAGTTTTTTTCTCACTGTTTTTCTCACAACAAAGATGATGACCATTTAACCTGTGCCTGAGCCCCAATCACCCTACCTACTTTCTTCACAGTCAGTTTGGTTAAAGACAGAATCAAACTCGGGTTCAGTTCAGCCCAAACAGGAACCTGAGAGAGATAATTTATTTAGCTGATGTTGATCAGAGTCAGCTCTTACAGCTCCTCCTGGTTGTGTTGCAGGAACAGGGCTGGGTTCTTCACACCAAAACATTGACTCATAAATCAGCCCATCTTCCATCTTTAGGCCCCTCAGCGATGAAGAACATTTGTGAAAACACAGAGATGGTCACTTACTCTCTCGTTCAGCCATTGCAGGAGTTTTGCTTCTGAGATGTTCAAAGTGTCCTCATGTGTCCATGAGTCCCTGCATATTTATACAGAAGAAGAAGAAGAGTGATCCTCCTTCACTTCAGTTTCAGACACACGTCCTCGCCTCCCTCTTTGACCTCAGACATCACTTCAAAAGAAGCTGCTCTCCTCTCTGGGTGGGTGTGCATTTACTGAAACTGTTCTCTCCCCCGATGAGACACTCATCGGGGGTAGGTGGTTTGATTCCCTCCTATCAGACAGACGGGTGTTCAAGGGCCAAAAAGAATGTGAGCCAATTCATCTGATGGTTATTTTTCATTCCTGAGAGAATGGTAGGTTCTGCTAAATAATCCTAAAACACTCCATGACCCAGACTGTCAGAAGGCTCAGGTGCATTTCAACTTTTACAAGAAGTTCATGAGGAGAAAGTTGCAGATGTACATGTGGAATAAACAAGAACACGTTGGTAACTTAGTCAAATATCTAAAAAAAAGTTGCTGTAAGAGTTTGTAAGAGAAAGGACATTCAGTGAGTTTTACAAAACAAACAAAAAACAAGAATATTCTGCACAACCTAATTGTGCTCAGAGTAAGTGTTGGGGATAAGTCTACTACCATAATTTTAACTCTGTGTCTGTAAAAGTGACTGGATTATAGCTATTTATGTGTTTTATAAAGTCAGTTAGCTGTAGCAGCCATCTTAAAATGTGCTGATTTAAAAAGTCAATCAGTTGTACATAGATGTGTGTAAAATCTGTACAGTACTTCAAAATATATTTTGCTAATAGACACACACATACATAAATCTTTAACCTTAATTTCTTTAATGAAATACCTAAGGATTATTTCATTCCTAGTTCATGGATTTATATATTTTTTTCCATTTATAACAAATGTAAATCTCTTTACAGCTGGTTAAGTTTTCTGTTAGAGGATTTTTGACACTTTTTGCAGAAACAAAAGGAAGTCACTGTAACACTCGTGATATGTACTTAATTGGTCAAACATCATAGTCAGAAGTAACTTCAGGATGTTTTGTCAGCACCAGATCAAAGAGATTTAAAGGTTTCTAAAAGTATCAACATTCATACTCAATAATCCAGCTAAAAATCCAACAAAGTACAGTCAGGTCATCTGGATGGTTACCTTTTTTTGTTGAGACATTTTGTCTTTCATCCAAAGGACTTCATGAGTCAGAGGAGTCACAAAAAAGTCCTACAAGCAGCACACTCACATAGTGGACCAACCAGTTTGCTGGCAAAATGTTTTCTGTGGCCCGCCCTCTCCCCCAGTCTCTTCAGCTTCACTTCTCCAGGCTCTCTTCCCCCTGCTCCCTACACTCACTGCAGTTGCTGTCTGTAAATACCTAGTCTGTGTCCTCCTGCACATCTAAGTATTATTGTCATTTTCGTATTTATGGGTAAAAATGACAGGGCACGTTGTTTTTCTAGTTCTCTCCCAGCTGAGAAAATCTTATGGAAATGTCCACAGTCTGTTCCTCGGTCCCAAACAAGCCGTGGTCATCAACTTGCTGAAGGCCATGAAGGAGGCCATGGTGGTCAAGGCCATGGTCTTTGCTAGATGGCCCTAGGACATGTTCATAAATGATATCGCACAGAGGAAAGGTAGAGGCTCAATGTTACAGAACTCTTCCTGTTATAAAGAAAATGGCAGCACAACGGCTCAGTGGTTAGCACTGTTGCCTGGGTTCAATCCCAAGTCGGGCCTGGGGTCTTTCTGTGTGGAGTTTGCATGTTCTTCTTGTGCTTGCCTGGGTTTTCTCCGGGTACTCTGGTTTCCTCCCACAGTCTAAAAACATGCATGCTCTCGACCTTGACCTCTCTAAGTGGCTTTAAGAATCTGTTGGACTCCGGGCAAGAACCAATGCAGACATGTTCCTGTTTTTAGTTTTTTACATTCGCATTATAATCTAACTGTTTTTGTTACTTCTTTGGCCATCTTATTTTAATTTGTAAAAAAAAATCTGTATGCCTCTTTTATGATTGTCTGTTGTTGTCCATTGTTGTTATCACTCTTTGATGAAATCAGGTCTCTCTTGTAAATGAGTCCTCGAGGCTCAATGGGATTAACCTGTCTAAATAAAGGTTAAATTAATTTAAAAAATCAATTTGTCTCAATTTAGAGAAAAGGGGTCTTAGTTATAACTCAATTTGATCCCAGTTTATTCTTCCTTTTGTCTCTGATCAGTCACAAAGTCAGTTTCATTGGTCTCCAAACCTTCTCAAATATTTCACATTTCTTGATTTTTCTGATTCACTGAAACTAAACTGAGATGGCTTCCAGAGGCCTGCAGCAACTCTGACTGATTCAAGAACTAGTTTAGTTAATTTTTTTGAACCTGAGAATTTGAGACCCTTGCAAACAATTAGAAACATTTTGAAAAGTCAGTGGCTTCACCAGAATCATTCATACAAATCTGTGTTTCTGTGGCTTGCAGGGATTTTTTGCTAATTATGGATCTGGCTGGAGGGAACATCGGTGCTTTGCTCTGATGACATTGAGGAACTTCGGTCTGGGAAAGAAATCGATGGAAGACAGAATTCACGATGAGATCCAGTACACCATAAGAACCCTGGAGAAGAGTGTTGGTATGGTACCTTCCGATCCACATTGCTTGATTGTGTGTTAACATTTAATTTCTCTCTATGGGTTATGGTCAGGTTTAGGATCAAGATTATGGTCAGAGGTCAGAAGGTTAGGTTTAGGAAAAGGGGTCTCTTAGGGATAGGGGTGGGCTTTAGAGATTTTTTTCTCCATTTAGCTTGTTTGTTAGTGAAATAAACCTCCCTGTATGTTGAGGTGTGTCTTTTTTCAGGAGTGAATGCATCAGGTCAACAGTATTGAGGACATTAATCTGGTCTGTTGTGGTGACAAATAAGCTGAGTTGCAAGGCAAAGCTCTGGAATTTCTGATCCATTCTAACCCTCACAAATGGTCATGAAGTCTGGATCAGGGTGAAAAAAATGAGATCCAGACTTAGCCTTGGAGGGGAGAAGATGTGAAAGATGCATTTATTGTAGTAATGCTGCTCAGAGTGGATTTCACCTGGCATTGATGGTGGATGGATGTCAGATCCACCTCAGGCCAGGCTCTTTCAGGGGTCAAAACTCCTCTTTGCTGCTTGTCAAATCAAGAAAAGAGGTTCAGGTTGTCAAGGAGATACTGGTTCTGACTGACCTGCATGCTGTCAGTTAGGGACTTACAGGCAGCTCTGCAGGCCTATTGGTCCCCGTCATAGCTTTGGTGCCATAATCTCTTCCTAATCCCACCTCACCCCGTTTTTAATGGGCGTAAAAGTTCAAACATCACAAGTTCTTTTGAAAGTACACAAACATAAATGTCAGACGCTCATTACCTGAGATTCCAGGGTGCCCACCCAGCAGATAAATGCTGCAAACTTGGCAATGTGTTAAAAATGCACCTTATCATTTAGCAATAAAACTCTTATCATCTCAGACTCCAGTCTGACCGCCAGACTTTAAGGCTCCAAATGTGCCCATTAAGCTTCCAGACAGTCATTTGTTGAAAATACTTGATGGGGCCTGTAGGACCACAAGCTGTTGACCACTCCAAAAACATTATTTGGGCCACTCAGTTTTATATAACAAAACACAAACACTGACAAAATTTAATTTGTAAAGAACTTTCCAAGATTGAAAGCTTTACAACTGTAAAAAAATAAAAATAATAAAATAACTGCATAGAACCCGTTATACACCTGTCAGCAATCTATAGCAATGATCTGGATGAGCAAAGACCACCTTTGACCTTGATTTGTGACCATGACCTGGAAGCTGGGGTGATGAATAGTGGCTGGGACACTCTGGCTACAGACATGTGTGTTAGGCTTAGTCAAGTTATTTTGGATGATTTTGTCTTCTTCATGCAGCACGCTGAGTTCTCAGGTGATGTTTCATAACAGCCTCCAATGTTGTCTGCCAGCTTCTGTTCAGAACGTGTTATGGGTATGACGACGAGCTGATCAAGACCATCGTTTGGAGCTTCACTGCACTTGCAAAGATGACCAATGAACCGTGGGACTTGGTGAGGCAAAGCAAGACTTCCATCCATCCTTTATCTTTTACCCGCATCTTCCATTTTGGGACACGGGGGTCGCAATTGCCCATGTCCAGCAATCACTGCAAGGGGCAGAGTACATCCTGGACGGGTCACAAGTCCATCACAGTGTCACATAGAGACAAACGAGACTTAAATCAGGTTGAGCAGAGTTCACCACTAGAGTTGCATTCAGGTCCAAAAAATATGATCCGACCCGGCCCCAGCCCGCAGTCACAATTTCTGAACCCCACCGGACCTGACAAATTAACAGTAATTACAGGTCCAAACCTGGACAAAACCCCAACATTTTTAATTAATTTTTAACGGTCGGGGACACACAGCTGAATAAAAGTGGCAGAAGATTCGGAGCTGAGAGGGTGTTTGTACTTTCATGGCCTTAAAAAAGCATTAAAACCCCATTTCTGACTGGATTCTCCTGAATTACTGAGACACGCAGACAGCTCTGACACACGCGTCTGCATTGGGATCTCATATATTTGGGTCGTTGGCCGCGTGCAACCGCTGAGGGCAGCGGCAGAATGAACGTCCATTTGGGCAATGGATCGCTGCCTGGCAGTACAGTCCCATCTGAAGCTTAACTGAACTCTATCTCTTTCAAGGCAAGTCAGCTCGTGGTGAAATGGCCGCCTGCAGCTGGTGGAAGTATGGCAGGCCATGTTATCATATAATTGGATCGCGGCTGATCCTGACCTAATTAAAAGCCAGAGACTGACCCAGCCTGCCCATTTATCACATTATAATGGCCCGGCCCTAATCCGGGTCGGGCCAGGCCGGGTTTCAGGTTTGGGTTAAAAATAACAGCGCCTCTGCAGAAGTTACAGCCCAGGAAAAAAACTAATTACAGAGTTTCTAAAACTTTGGGGTGATTTGTGCAGTTTCAAACCCACAAGCCGCCCCAGGAGGCTCTCATGATCATGATCAGAACCTAATTCTGTTTTTATTTATTTGTTTGTTTTTATTTACTCTTCCCCATCACATAACAAAATGGGTAATTGTAAATACCCTCCGTTGAACCAACTGTGTATGTTTTGAGTGTGATAACTTGACTCATCATGCCGGTGGTCCTCTTCTTGCATCTGGAGGTGCAGATGTCTGTGATGGTGGGGAGGCTCACTCCAACAGACTTCTGTGCAGCCTTCACCACTCTCTGAAAAACTTTTCTTTCTGCAGCTGTGCAGCCTCCATGCCACACATTGATGCTGAAGTACAGGATGCTCTCCACTGCACACCTGTAGAAGGAGGTGAGGACTGAGCTTCCCAGACCAGCTCGTCTCAGCCCCCTGAGGAAGTAGAGTCTCTGATGTGCTTTCTTATCAGGTTGGTAGTGTTGTTGCCCCAGCTGAGGTTGTCATTCAGGTACACACCCAAGTACTTGTAGCTGGAGACCACTTCCACCGCAGAAGATCTTCCTATGTTCGTGGTGGGGTGTGTGTGTGTGTGTGGGGGGGGGGGGGTGTATGTAGGTGTGTTTGTTTCTTCTGAAGTCCACGACCATCTCCTTCATCTTCTTCACATTGATGTGAAGATTATTTTCCTTGTACCAGCTCTCCAGGTGTTCTACCTCCTGCCTGTAGCTGGATTCATCATTGTTTGTGATGCATTCCACCACCGCTGTATTGTCTGCAAACATTACTATGTGACAGCCTGGATGGGTAGGTACACAGTCATACATGAGCAGAGTGAATAGGAGAGGGCTCAGCACACAGCCTTGAGGGGAGCCAGTGTTGAGGGTTATGGTTGAGGAGGAGAAGTTGTGGATCCTCACTGACTATGGTTTGTTTGTTAAGAAGTCTAGGACCCAGTTGCAAATGGAGGGGTTTAGTCCTATGTGAGTAGTTTGTCCATCAGGGTTTGGGGATCATGGTATTGAAGGCAGACGTGAAGTCCACAAAGAGTATATGGACGTAGGAGTCCTTCTTCTTCAGGTGAGTGAGAGCAGTGTGGACCACAGAGGAGATGGCATCCTCTGTTGATTGATTCTCATGGTATGCGTACTGGTGCGGATCCTCGCTGATGTTGATGGTTGTTTGATGTGGGTCATGACCAGTTTTTCGAAGCATTTAGCAACTATTGGGGTGAGGGCTACTGGCCGATAGTCATTCAGACCAGTCACTGTAGAGCTCTTTGGGATGATGGTTGCAGTCTTCAGGCAGGTGGGAACTGTTGCCAGGGTAAGTGAGGAGTTAAAGATGTTGGCCAGCACCTCGCAGAGCTGATCGGCAGTCTTTCAGCACCTTCCCGGGTATGTCGTCTGGGCTGGTTACTTTGTGAGGATTAATCCTCCTGCAAGTACTCCTTACTTCGGCTGAAGTCATGAAGAGAAGCTCTTCTTCTCAATGGATTTATGGATCCAATGGATGGATGGATTTGAATTTTGCAACACTGTTGCAGAGAACAGACATAGAGTCTTGCTGATGGGAGAATAAAAACAGGAGTGAGGGAACACATTGTTTTAAAGGACCTGATTAATTGAACTCCTTTAGACTCCCTAAAGAAGGCAGCTGTGCTGATCTGGGAGAATGTGTTGTAGAAATTCAGACTTTTTACTGGAATTTCTCAACAGTTTGTGCTTGCCTCAGCTTCAGTGGATAGTTAAAAGACCAACATTTAACACAGTGTCAGTCTGAAACCTGAAGAGAAAATCTGACTGAACTACAAAAAATCAGTTTCAAAGGCAAAAATCATGGGGGACATCAGAATCAGAATCAGAATAAACTTTATTGGAATTGCACCAAGGTAAAACGCGAATATGCACGTACAATTGTCCGAAAGATGGGCGGAGTGCACGAAGCTGCAACTGTAGAAAGCGCAGCCATTTTATCCTTATCAGATAATAATCTCAGATAGGAAAAGGGGTAGAAAAACATGAGGGTAGATAGTGGTATTACATAAAAGTTCTTTCACATCTTGTCTATTCGGACACAATTTGAGACATCAAAAAACTCTACCAGCAAGCACAATTAAAACATGATTACATTTGCATTTGACATCGAGGTGTTGAGATTTGTCCATGAGCGTTTTTTTTCAGATCAGCCACCGTTTCTGAAGATGTTGTTCCAGCCAGCAGTTCTGATAAGCTTGCACAGAAAGTTCTCGGGGGGTGGGATAGATGAAGCTTTTGTCCTTGGGTACTCATGTCCCAGGAGAAATTTGATAGTTGGCCTGTCTCCAAGGTCGTCGGGGAGTCAGATTCAGATAAACTTGATTCTTGTTTTCCTTCAGGCAGACAGATTACTTTTTATCCAGCCTTGAGTCCATCTGGGCATTCTGGTTCCGATAATGCCTAATTGTGGGATCCATCTCACTGATCCATGCTATGAGTCTCCTTCAAGGTCAAACCCACCACGCTGACGAGTCCCAGAAGCCACAGGTGGCCTGCGATTCTCAATCGCCTCCACCTTACGGTTAAGCTCGTAAACCAGATGATTCAAAGTTCCCACAGCGAGGACCAGTCTTTCACACTGACTCGGAAGCTTTTCCATGGCCAAAACTGCCCCCGCCATCTTTTTCAATAGTCAATAAAACAGAGCCCCGCCGATGCCAAAAAGCAGAGTCCCTGCTATCATAATTTCAAATATATAAACGTCTTCAACATCCTACTGAGTTGAACGCCCACGATACCAAATCCATAATCTTCTTTATTTATGTTCGGGAGATGAGACCCAGGCGCTTCAGACACACAGAGAGCAGACCAGGAAGAAGGAAAAATGGGGGAGGAAAAACATAAGCTGCCATCTCGATCAGAACCTGGGAGGGGAAAAAAAAGATGGATGGGGAGGAAAAGGAAAGAAACTGGACCATAACATCTCACGCTGGCCTGATTCCTCACCTCCATGCAGCTTCTCCTCCCAGATTCTTGCACAACTTAAACCACTTTTTGTGAATGAGTCTAAGAACTCTGTGAGAACTTAAAGCTTAATTTTATTTTATTTCCCTTAAACCTCCTGGACAGGTTTAGTGGCTAAAGGTGCAAATATTACAAGACAACAAATGCATGATCACCCTTCTTTAGAGCCTGGAGCTTTAACCGCACCTTCTGTTTTAATATCCAGATTAATATTTCACATTTTATCTTTGTTTCTTGTTGCAGACTGGTAGCACTGGTAGCTGGAAGTTGACACACAGGAAACAGAATCTGTGCTGCAGGAGCAGTGCTGCCCTCTGCTGGTTCTGTGTTTGGGTCACAGCTCCAGTTGATAAATGTTTTTCCTGCTCCTGTCAGGTGATTATTTCACTCTGTAACAGCACAGAATGAAGGAGCTGCAGGAGCACAAGCTCCTGTCTCTGAGAGCCTGAGAATGAGTCCGTCCAGGTGGATCTTCATCACATCAGCTCATCTTCAGCTCCTTCCCAGTGACATCTTTCCATCAGAGTGCTGGGAAAAGTGACACGCATCTTAGCTGCTAAGAAAAGCACCCAAAGAGAGTGACAGAGAGTGGCTGACCCAGATAAGACGTCTAAAATAAGAAGTTAGGATGGACAGAGTTGGAAAAAAGAGCAGAAAAAGAAGAAATAAGCAGAAAAAAACAGCTCAAAAACTGAATGAGTGAGACTCCCCCTGCAGCTGTAAACCTCTGCTTAAACTGTGTTCACAGCAGACACTAAGGTTTGACTCTGTTTCCATGACAACCAGTCTCCCCTCACTGGACCTGCAGTTCCCAAAGGAACTTTAGGGCAGCTGTGGCTGAGTGGTTAGAGCCGTCATCCTCCAATGCGAGAGTTGGGGGTTCGATTCCACCAGCAGTCACATGCTGAATTGACCTTGGGCAAGACACCGAACCCCTCATTTCCTCCGATGTGTGTCCCATCAGTGTATGAATGTGATCTAAAGCACTGATTAGTCTTTGTAGAAATATAGTAGAGTGCTAACAACAAAGTCCATGCTCAATAATCCAGGTATACAATCCAACATTTTTCAGTCAGATCATCTGGACAGTTTGAAACTGTCCAGATGACCTGACTGAAAAATGTTGGATAGCAGAGTGCTGTATGAAGGGGTAAATGGGGGCCCAGATTGTAGTATAGAGTGCTTTGAGAATCTTGATAAGATAGAAAGACGCTATTTAAGTACAGTCCATTTACCATTTACCAAACTGTTCTGCCATTGGCACTCAAATTAAAAGCTGCGGTGACTCGAGACCTGGACTGCATCACTGTAGGACACAAACATGGCTAAAAACTCATTCCCCCAAAAAGCAACATGATGTTTTTGACATTTCTGACATTTCTGACCATCATATTTATACATTTTTAAAGTTTTAGTTTGGAACAAGTATGGTTAAGTTTGTTAATCCATCCATCCATCCATCCATTATCTTTACCCGCTTATTCCATTTTGGGTCACGGGGGTCGCTGGTGCCCATGTCCAGCAATCACTGTGCGAGAGGCGGGGTACACCCTGGACGGGTCGCAATTCCATCACAGGGACACATAGAGACAAACGAGACAAACAATCATTCACTCTCTCACTCACACCTAGGGACAATTTAGAGTTACCAATCAGCCTAACATGCATGTTTTTGGTCTGTGGGAGGAAACCGGAGTACCCGGAGAAAACCCACGCATGCACGGAGAGAACATGCAAACTCCACCCAGAC